AAAAAAAAAAAAAGAAAAGGAAAGGAAAGGAAAGATATCTCCAGGTGGATAGTGAAAAAAAAGAAAAGGAAAGAAAGAAACAATTGATGACTCTTTTGCTAATATAAGTTGACTATATTACAAGGCACAAATGCTGATAATCTAATCAGGTCTGACAGGAAGTCAGCCAAAAACTGGGGACCATAAGGAAGACTTTCTCGTCTTCTCCTTCTGGCCAGGAAGCATTCACTGCTCTGGGAATTTCCCTCTCACTATCAACATCTAGAAACAGGCAAAATCTGGGAAACCCCTTTTTCAGCCATTGGACAACAGACAGCACAAGCCTGTCATCCCGGAGAAAAGGGACTCAAATGAGGTGAGCCCTATGATTGCCCCAGATTCTGCCTGGGGGCAGTTTCCAGGCCACTTTGCTGGGAGGAGGAATTGAGAATCCAGCAGTCCCTCTGAATTGAGACTTAGATCCTAGTTCCATGGCTACAGTTTGTGGGGCAGAATACCAGAGAAAAGGGTGCTCCTGAGGCAGGAGGGAGTGTGAGATCAAGAGGATACTTCCTTGAACTGTGGCTCAGTATTTCCTGACTCAGGGTGAAATCCACAGCCTGGGGAAAGAACCACCATGGGCAGTTAATCAGACAATTCCTGGAACTGAAATGGGGCTGGGAATCGATGTGTAGAGTTCTCAGTGGGTTGTCACTTTAGTCGCAGGGATAAATAAGTGCTGAACTAAAAACTAATGTAGACCTGCACATAACAAATCTTAAAGAAAGCTTTAGAAGGACCAGATGGATCCTAAGTCATTTAGCTATGCGTCAGAATAAAATCCTACACTCCTTAACAGGAGTATATCAGTAATACAACGGAATCCAAATACCCAGTCAAAAATTATTAGAAGTAAAAGGTAACTCACAGCCAGGAGAAAAATAGATCAATAGAAATAGGCATCAGAAATGACAGCAGTGATCAAATTAGCAGATACAAATGTTTATCTGTTATGAATATGCGCCATATGCTCAAGATTGTTGAGGGGAAAAAAACAATGAGAAGTAGAGGTATATTTTAAAACTTGTAGAGATGAAAAATATATCTGAGTTTTTAAAATACACTGAATAGTATTTACAGCAGGTTAGATATTGCAGAAGGAAAGATCAGTGAACCTGAACAGTGAAACAGAAACAATTCAGTGTGTCACAGAGAGAATAAGACTGAAATAAAGAGAAGAGATCTTGGCAACCTGAAGAACAGTATTCAGCACGGAGGAGCCGTGTATCTGGAGTCTGAGAAGGAGGATGGAGATGGGTGTGGAAAGGAGTATTACAGAAAAAGGATGTGAAGAAATAATACCGAAACATTTTCCAAATTTGGTGAAAACTAAAACCCACATTTCCAAGAAAAGCATGAAGAAAACCACACAAAGCCATACCATAATCAAATTGCTGAAAACTAATGATAAAAAATCTTAAAAACAGCCAGAGGGAAGAGCCACATTACATACAGAGAAACAAGAATGACAACAGACTTCTCATCAAAAAACAATGCAAACCAGGAGACACTGGAGTAACACCTTTAAATTACTGAAAGAAAAAACCACCAACCTAGCATACTATATTACCAGCAATACTGTATTTCAAAAATTAAGCTGAAATAAAGACTTCTTCAAACAAAAGTGAAGAGCGTTCATCACCAGCATCCCTGCATTACAAAAAAAATGTTAAAGGAAATTATTTAGACAGAAGAAGAAAAACTGGTACCAAAGGAAAATCTAGATCTATGCAAAGGGATGAAGAGTGTTAAAAATGATAACTATGTGGGTTGAAGACTTTTTAATCTCTTTAAAGATAATTTTTAAAGTAAAATAATGAAGCTTATAACGTATGTAGAAATAAAATAGATGACACCAATAATATAAACCAAGGTGTGCAAACTTTTTCTGTAAAGGTCCAGAGAGTAAATACTTCTGGCTTTTTGAGCCATGGTCTCTATCACAATTCAACTCTACCACTGTAGTGTGAAAGCAGCCAACCACAGATAATACATAAATGAATAGGTGTGGCTGTGTTCCGATGTTCCAATAAAACCGTCCTTTTAAAAACTGATGGAAGGCAAGATTTGGTCTGTGAGTTATAGTTTACCAACCCCAACATAAAAGATGCGTAGTATTGTAAGGTCCCTGTATTATATAAAGGGGTGTAACATTGTTTGAAGGTAGGCTGCGTAAGTAAAAGATATACACTGTAAACCCTCGAACAACAAGTGAAAAATAAGAGTAAAGAATTATAACCAATAAACTAACTGTGGAGGTAGAAATTGAATCCTACAAATACTCAATCCAGAAGGCAAGGAAAGAGGAAAAAAGAAAGAAGTGGGACAAATTAAAACCGACAGCAAGGTGACAGGTGCAATCTAGTCATATTGGTAGTTACATTAAAATGTAAAATGATTAAACGTGAATTAAAAGGCAAGGATTGTCAAACTAAATTGAAAAGCAATACCCAACTACATACTATCACAGGAACCCACTCTAAAGACACGGATAATTTTAAAGTAATAGAATGGGTGTCTGGTTCTGAGAAAGATAGAGTAAGCACACTCTATCCCTGTCTCTCCCCCACTGAATACAGCTAAGCTCCTGGACAAAATGCATGGAGTAGCTATCAGAGGACTCTGAAAAGTAAATAGTAGCAGGTGGATTGGGGAAGAAGACCAAGCTTCGAAGTACCACCAAACCAGTGGTGAGTTTACCATTTTTTGTTTTTTGCTGTGATATCCCCCCAGCTTGGACTCAAAGACACCTCAAAACCAGAAGTGAGCATCCACATGGACAAAAAGAGTGCTCCAGAGAAGTCCTCTAGTCAGGCTTAAGAAGCAGGGCTGACAGTGCAGAAGTTGGGGAACTCTCAGATGTCTTTAAACTGTGAGGGAGGGAAAGCTTTCTCTCCAGCTGGAGGCACTGTGCTTTTAAAGGGGTTGGGTATTGTTTTCCCCTTTGCTGTTGTTTTTCCCTTTCTCTGTCGTCCCATCGCTTGGCCCCAGTAATGAATGCCATCATTATAAATAAGTGGCAAGGTAGAGAAATAAAAGCCCAGCTTTCTTGCCAGAGGACTAAAAAAGGTAGCCCCAGAAAACTGGGAAGTACTCAGGAGTCTATGGAGGGTGAATCTTAGGACAGTAACTCCATAAAGTTATTTATGAACTCCTGAGCCCCTCCAAGTTGGAGGAATCTGTGTAATCTGATCCAAAATTTTATAGACAATACCATTTATAATAGCTCCTCTAAAGTTGGAAGACTTTAGAATAAATCTAATAAAGCATTAGAGAATTTGTATGCTGAAAAACTACAAAGAGCTGATGAAGGAAATCAAGATCAAGTAAATAAATAGACATACCATGTTCATGGATTAGAAGACTCAACATAGTAAATGTGGCAGTGCTCTCTAAATTGATTTATACATTTAACATGATTCCAACAGAGGTCTCAGCAGAATCTTTTGTAAATATAGACAAACTGGTTCTAAAATTTATATAGAAAGAAAAAGAATTTAGAAAGCCAAAACAATTTTGATGAAGAATAAATTTTTGAGGAATCACACTACTGGGTATTAAGATTCACTGTAAAGCCACTGTGATCAATTCAGTGTGATATTGGCAAAGGGACAGACACATGGATCAGTGAAACAGAAGAGAAAATCCAGAATTAGACCCACACAAGTATGGCCAATTAATTTTTGAAAATGATTTAAAAGCAATCCAACAGAGAAAGGATAATCTTTTCAACAAATGGATTTGAAACAATTAGATATCCTTATTTAAAAAAATGAACCTCAACTTAAACCTCACACCTTATACAAAGATTAAGTCAAAATGAATCATAGACCATAAAAACATAAAACTATAACATTTTTAGAAGAAAATATAGGCCAAAAAAATATTTATGACCTAGTCTTAGGCAAAGTCTTCTTAGATAAGACAGCAAAAGCATGATTCATTAAAACACACACACACACACACACACACACACATACACACACACACACACACATAAATTAGACTTCATCAAAATTTAAAACTTTTGCTTTGTGAAAGACATGGTTAGAAGAACAAAAAGACAAGCCACAAACCAGGAGAGAGCGTTTGCAGAACCCACACCCAGCAAAGGACCTGTGACCAGAATACATCAAGAAATCTCAAATCTCAACTGTGAGAAAACAACTCAATTTAAAAAATGGACAAAAGACTTGAACGGTCACTTGGCCACAAAAGATACGTATGTGGAGGAGAATAAACGGATGAAAAAATATTCTTGTCGTTAATATCAGCCATTAGTGAAATGCAAATAAAAGCCACTATGAGAAATCACAACAAACCCATTAGAACGTCTTAAAATATGTATATAATACTGACCTGGTATAGATGCAGAACAGCTGGGACTCTCACACATTTTTAGTGGAAATGCAAAATCGTTCAGCCACTTTGAAAACAGTTTGGCAGGTTTTTTATAAGGTTAATATATGCTTCTAATATGACCCAGCAATCCCATTCCTTGGTATTAACTCTGAAGAGATGAAAACTTATGTTTACACACAAATTTATACACAGATGTTTATATTATGTGTTTATAATCACCAAACTCCAAAGATAAATGGATAGACAAATTATGGAACCTCTGTACAGTGGAATATTACTCAGCCATAACAAGGACCAATTATTGATACATATGACAACTTGGGTGGATCTCAGAAGTATTAGATGAGTGAGAGAAGCCAGTCTCAAAGATGAAATACCGCGTGGTTCCACTAAACGGTGTTTTTGGTCAAAGAAAACTGTAGTGATGAACAAATCAGTAGTTGCCAGGTACTGAGGTGTAACAGGAGCTCTGTGACTCTGAAGAAACAGACCAAAGAAGTCTTTTAGGGAGATGGAATGTCCTGTATCCAGATTTTGGTGGGGGTTAAGCAAATTATGTATGTGTTAAAATTCATAGGGGTGCAGTGAACCAAAGTCAATTTTACTGTATACTAATTTACAAAGACAAATTTAAAAGCACACAAAGAAACTGAACATCTTTTAAAACCCAAAAAGTAAGATTAGGTAAGCACTAATCGAGATACTGCTATAGTGGCTGTATTAATATCAAATAAATCAAACGTGAAGGAATATCGCCGGGAATGCGGAGGCACTTTAATAATGATAAAGGGGTCAATACATCCAGAAAACATAACGTAGATACGCTTGTGCCTGTTAACACCTATTCACGAAGCAAGAGCTACTGAACTGCAGGGAGAAACAGGTCCATGAGTGTGGGTGGAGGTTTCGGCCTCCCCTCCCAGTGGCGGACGAAGCGTGTAGACAGGAAGTCGGTAAAGCTGCAGAAGACCTGAGCTTGGCCTCCGCGGCATTTATAGACCCCTCACATTATTCCGAAGTGCTCATGGCCATCAAAGACCACATTGTGGGCCATCAATAAGGCCCAATACATTGAAACGGATTGTGTTTTCTGATCATAGCAAAATTAAACTAGAGATGAACAGCAGAAAGATACCTGGAAAATCCCAATTACTTCGCTGATAGGGATGCCTGGCCAGACGTGTGGAGGCCCCTGGCCCCTGGGTGGTTGCCCAGTGCTGCTTGTCAGTCCACAGAAGGAGCTGGGAGATCCTGAGCGCCCCGGGGTGCAGAGTGGCTACAAATCTGCTTCCAGAAATTCTGGCTTAAGTCCCACTTGGGAATGAGAGCTGAGGTTAAAAACCCAAAGGTGCTGTGGGGCTGGGGGGGGAGACCACTCTCCCCACACTCCTTGTGTGGCCGCTGGTGACCACTGTCTTTCTTTGCAGGAGACCGCCCAGTTCCTGACGCCTGCCTCTCGGCCCCTTGCCACAATGGGGGCACCTGTGTGCACGCGGACCAGGGCTACGTGTGCGAGTGCCCCGAAGGCTTCATGGGCCTGGACTGCAGGGAGAGTGCGTCTGGGCTGCAAGGGCTGCCGTTTTGGGGCTGGGGCAGGAGACCCAGGCAGGGCCTCCTGTGGGTGCATGCAAGGAATACCCAAGAAGAAACATGAGCGTATGTGTGTGTGTACACTGCATCTGTGTGGGAA